CCGCCCCCCCCCCCCCCCAACCTAGCACCCTCAGATGGCTGCCTATGCCTGGAGGCAATTCCTTGCTAGGAGCAGATCAGTTTCTAACTTCCCCTTTCTGACCAAGTTACACCCATATTCAGGATGAAACGTGGTCAGACTGTGTTTGGTTTTTTGTTGCATGGCTGTACTTGGCACGGCCCACACAGCTGCATCATCCATCCACAGGAAGGAGGAACTACAAGTCCCATCTGGCAGAGGGGCTCTTTTCAGAGAAATACAAGTGCAGTGACATCACCACACTTGTAGTTCATTAACTCTGCCTCCCGTCCATGTTACTACATGTCCGTACCTTGGTGTATAGTAGGGATAAACTATACCATTTTTTTTTTCCAGCCCGAGTACAAGTACCAATACTTTTCCTCAAGTACTCGCCAATACCAATTACCGATACTTTTTTAAATTTTTTTTTATTGGGATGTGGTGAAGCACCAGGGCCCAGTGACAACTTCAACCAATGCAACCCTGGTAGTTCTGCCACTGACTCCAAGCTGTAGAGGGACTAAAATCTCAGCAATACAATATACAGCAATGCAGAATTATACTAAACTATAGAGGACTACATATCCCGGGAATACATTATACAGAAATGGCAACCGGCTATAGAGGACTACAAATTCCAGCAATACATTGTATAGCAATGCAGAATACCTTCAGCTATAGAGGACTACAAATTCCAGCAATATATTATACAGCAATACTTAAGACTAATGAGACAGAGAAACTGGTTACAGTGAAAATCTGCTCCATATTCTGTCCCAGTTTTTGATTAATTCCCCTCACTGAATCCCCATTGTTCTGATCCACTCAGATCTCCTCTCCTTGTCCCACGTTTAAGGCTGGGCTTGCTGACATCTCACAGGCTTCTTACAGTCAGGCTAGGTTCAGATATAAGCAATCATGTGCTAGTGCACACAGCAGTTGCTGATTTTCAATGGCGTTACATGTGTGCGGCAATCACTGAAAAAGGTGCATACACTTTTTTTGTGATACACAACGCATGGCTTGGCCGTGATCGTTTTCAGTTGCACGGACTGAATCGTGGCAGGAAAACGCGCAACCCACCCAGCACGACTGCGGTGCCATTAGAAAATAATGGCACCACCAGCACGATTGGCTGGTGGATGACTCCTTGATCACCCTGCAACCTGCGCGGTTGGTCACAGATCGCCCAGATGTGAACCTAGCCTCAAATGCGTATAGATTGTTTTATAAAAAACACATATTTGGTTTTACCTACTACACCATGAGCGGTTTATTCAATTACATGACAACTTATTAAATCATGACTCGGAGGACAATTTTGGGAGGAGATTTGAGTGGATTGCATACACCAGATTGGATCGGAACAATGGGGATTCAGTGTTTTGTGGTGAAGGATATTGTATTTTATATAGTGACAGCACCGGGTTAATCACACAAAGTAAGAGATCATTTTTAAAGTTTTCACTAGAAAATTTATTTTTATATACATTTCACATATGGGATGTTCGTAAGGCTGCATTCACACATAGCGGTTGCAGTTCCCGCACGGTTTTCCGTGCGAGACGAGAAGCGCCAATGTTTTTAAATCCGCACGGATTCCGCTTATATGTGGCTATTAAATAGCCGTGAACGTGCGGAATTATCGCACACTTGTACTATTTCAGGGGCCGCTTGGTAATGATGTTTATATACTAAGCACAACAGTTACTAGTATTCTTAGAGGATTTTAATTTGCTTAACCACAGTGTGAATCTATTTACAAATATTGCAAGGTTGTATGCACATAGGGGCGACATCCACAAGTTTGAATTGTACATGTAGTCTCCCCTTCATTTACCTAGCAGGTTAGTGTTACTGTGTGTACTAAAGCAAGTTGGCATGCAGAAAAAAGCAGCCCGCTTGTGGCACAGCATGAGGCAGATTTGTTATCACACTTCTCTCTCCCCTCCCTCCCTCTCATGAGACGGCGCACACACACGCCTCTATCTCTAACACGGGACTAAGAGGAAATGCTGGGACAATTCAGAAACCCTCGGTAGCCAACGGGAGAGGCTCTATGCTGGAGGACTTACTGTAAGCCAATCCACTCGGTGTCTTATCAGAACACGGGAGGGAATCAAGTGTCCTCGTCCTGCAGACAGGTCCCATCACCAGGCCTGGCGCTAGTGTAAGGCAACACAAGCAGCTGCCTGAGGGCGCTCTTGGGGGAGGGTGGAAAAATGGTAGCAGTGTGACTGTACACAATCGGCCTCAGAGATGGATGCCGGCCATAGAGGGATAGATGCCAGTGTTTTTCCGGTGGCTGTGAAGTCGGCTCCGCCCACTGTTCTGTGCCGCGTTGAATTTGGATCTGCTGTGGGCGCACTTTGGAGCTGCCAGGAGGAGTGGCGGGTTCTGCAGAGGATCTGTGATGGGCCATCACAGAACCCCTGCAGACCCCGCCACTCCTCCTGGCAGCTCCTTATTCAGCGCGGCACAGAACAGTGGGCGGAGCTGACTTTACAGCCACCGGAAAAAACACTGGCATCTATCTCTCCGGGGCCGGTTGTTTACAGTCACACTGCAACCATTTTTCCGCCCTCCCCCCAAGAGCGCCCTCAGGCGGCTGCTTGTGTTGCCTTACACTAGGGCCGGGCCTGACCACGGTGGTCGTACTGCTGCAATCTGCAGAGTCCCATGCCACCACCTTGGTGCCACTTAGCATCAGGAGCTAGCTGTATCTTCCCAAATCAAACCACCATCTCCAAGGGTTAGGGTTGCAGGGCAATAAAAGAATAATTTCAGGGTGAAGGTCTGCTTTACAACGGTAATGCTTTCATTCAACCCAACCCTAAATAGTTGAACAAAAGCAATATTTAGTTGTATGTAAATGAGCTTGTACTGATATTTTACCTGTCCTATATATAGGTGGAGAGTCTATGCAGAAGGTGCCCCTCACTGCATTAATGTTGCAGATGACGACGTGAAGAATCTGCCCACAAATGACCAGTTTTCCTTTGTGAAAGATTCCAGCTTTGGCTACAATGTCATTTCAACGTATGTATCCTACATATACAAGTGGCAGCAAAATCCCTGAAAACTGTCTACTTGACCACTTTTTACTGTAACGCATAGAGCTTATGGCCATTCACACTTTATCTCTCTGAGCAGGCAGGTATGGCTGGTGTCTACTCTAATCAGACCTTTTTATAGTTTTAAGATGGGTTACAGCTCGAACTCTGTACTCCTGTTAAGTCCTGCCTGGCT